CCGTCGGAATTCCGTCGGTTTGCTGCCGTCGGAAATCCGTCGGTAAAATTACCGTCGGAAATCCGTTGGTCACCACTGTCGTCGAAAATCCGTCGGTAAAATTTTCTGTCGGAAGTTCGTCGAATTCCAATTGCCGACGGACTTCCGACGGAGTTTCGACGGATTTCGGTTATCCCTTTTCCTTTGAAAATCCGTCAGGTTTTTCCGACGGATTTCCGACGAGATAGAACCTACGGACCAAAACCGTCGGAAATCCCTCGAAATATGGGTTATTCCAACGGATTTCCGACGGTTTTGGCCGTCGGAAATGACCCTGTTTTCTTGTAGTGGTAAGTTGCGTTGGAATATCTTACGGTAAAAAATGGAGATGATTTTTTCGACAAAAATGGAGATAATTTAACATTCATATATATATATAAAGAAATCGTTTCTTTGAGTTAGAAACTCATAACTATTCACAAATTTAATTGTATAAAATATATGTAATACTCGTCTCGATTTATTGTATATTTTCATTCGATTTGAATAATTCGGATAACTGTAAAAACAAATCAAATTTAAAAATTCATACAAGCTAGAAACAAAGCAAATCAATGATACAAAAAAACATTGAATAAACTTTTTTGGTAATTAGAAAAAACTCTGAACAATAAAAGTACTAAGATTTTATAAAATTAAGAAACAAAATCTTAAAAGTGATTTGTGAAATAATATTGCAGCATATTGGTTAATTTTTGAATTTTGGGCATAATTTTTCAAGTATATTAATTTTTTTTAATACTTCCTATAGATATCAGATACCCCATTTAGTATTAAAATGAATACAAATTTGAAAAAAAACGAGTATAGATAAGATAAAAGCATAAAATGTTTATTTCGCGCCTAACCCAATCCATAAACATTGACCAAACGATGATGTCGCTCAAAAAATCTTAAGCGTTTTTTTATGTGCATGGTTTAAGCTTCTGTTTAGATTTACTTTTCGGCTAACCTTTTGTTTAACATGTTATGGTGCTACAATCGTCGCTAAATTCGAAACTGGTCTTCATAAAAAATTATTGAAACTGGTTTTTTTGTAGCTTTTTGTTGTTGTATTGCAACTGAATTGCTATATTTTCTTATTAACGGCAACTGAATTGCTA